TTTTTTATGGAGGAGGCAGCAAGGGTATTGGGCTGTTTGTATGGCATGAGGGAAGCAGTGTACAGGTCCATCCACAAATCCTTGTATTCTCATACACCTTCAAGCCTGTTCTTGTGTTTTCATGTGTCTAATTCACATCTTTTGTTTTGTTTTAGTACTAGCCCTAGAGCTTGAACTCTGGACCCCAACACTGTCCCTGAGGTTCTTTGGCTCAAGGCTAACTTCTGGCTTTTTTATTTAGAGATAGAAGTCACACGGACTCTTTTGCCCAGGCTGGCTTCCAACTTTAACCCTCAGGTCTCAGCTTTCTGAGTAGCTAGGATTATAGGAGTGAGCCACCAGCACACCTGACTGTAATTCACATCTTCATGCTCCTTCTTCCCCTCCCTGCTCATTCCCTCTGCCAAGTTATGACTAGAGCCACTCCTGTGGGACTCAAATCCTTGGCAAGGGCTTTGCCTCCTGTCCTGAGATCAGAGTCTCAGGGGTAGTCGAAGGAATGCATACACAAGCATTTCCAAACTGGCTTTAAATACTTATTAGGGTGCCACACAAAGGAGCTGGGGTAAGGGCTTTTTATGAGTATGGGGCTGGGATGCCCTGAGAGAAAAAGGGACCCATTTGTTAGGGCAGCTGGGGTATACCACTCCCACCCTGGGATAAGGGTGTTAGTATAGGTCCTCCTCTCTGACAGGTTCCAGGGCTAAGTGGGAGCCAGCCCTCCCTTGGAGGTAGATGACTGGGGAGGGAGGAGCAGCTCCCAAGGTGGCAGGCAGTGGGTTCCTCAGTGGAATTGTTGGTAGCCAGGATAGCCAGGAGCTGGGCTACTACCATCCTTTGGACCTAGTTGACTGGGGTCTTCGAAGAATGGAGGTGCTAGAGAGGGAGGAAAAAGATAATGAAGTAAGTTACACGGAAGGAGGCTGGTAGGGCTATTCCCACCTCTCCCTACCCGTTGTTCCACAGATCCTTACCATTGCGGAACTGCTGTGCGGTATAGCGTGTGAGGAGGATGCCCACACCCTCAATGAGGGCCAATAGGATGCCCCCCATCATGGCTGAGCCCACCATGGCCAATGGGCCACCTGGAGGTGGAGAGAGACAGAGGTGAGGGCAGCAGAACAGAGGGAAGGGACTGGGGCCAGGAGCCAAAGACACTCACTGCGAGCAGCCAGCACAGCCCCAGTCAAGGCACCACTGGTGATGGAGTTCCAGGGATCCTCTTTGCCTCGAAGTCGTACCAAGCCACAATCAATGGTGGAGAATAGGCCTCCCCACACTGCAAAACTACCTGTAGAGGGGCAGAGGTCTCGTCAGTATTTTCCAGAGATCCTAAGAATTCATATCTCAGGGGATGGAGACTTCAAAGGCCTGAAGGCTCTGTATAAGAACGGGGAAGAAAAGGGAGTTTGGTATACAGGGTATGTTTCAACTGCACAAGACCCTGCAATCCATCCCCAGCAACAAATAAAGAAAAGGAGAGGGGCAGGGCACTGGTGGCTCACACCTGTAATCCTTGCTACTCAGGAGGCTGAGATTTGTGGATGGCAACCAGCTGGAAGCAGGCAAGTCCATGAGACTCTTACTTCCAATTAACCACCAAAAAGCCAGAAGTGGAGCTATATGTAGCTCAAGTGGGAGAGTGCTAGCCTTAAATGAACAAAAAAAATCTAGCAAGAATGCAAGGCCTGAGATCAAGCCCCAGGATGGGAAAAAAGAAAAGAAAAGAGAAAGAAAAGAAAGGGGAGAGGGGCTGGGAAGATGGCTCAGTGGTAGAGCGCTTGCCTTGCATGGCTGAGGCCCTGGGTTCGATTCCCCAGCACCACATAAGCAAAAAGAAAAAAGCCGGAAGTGGCGCTGTGGCTCAAGTGGTAGAGCACTAGCCTTG